GATTGTTAATGTATAGCTTGTGCTGTCATTGTTAACGATGTATAGACTGTATGGGGCATTTATCTTGAGATGATGACATGCTGCCAAGGATTTGGAATTGTCATGCTGGCTCTCAAATATCTTGGGATGCAGATCCTGACCAGGATGGGCCAGCGGGTGTTGCGTGTCTAACACGAGAGTTGTGGTCCCGTCATGCTATGGCTGACGGCTTGACCTGACAGCCCGGAGATAGAGACACTCCGTGGCATGTCTAGCCTAGTGGGCTGTGTGCTCACATGGCTCGGAGAGTGTGGTCCCGTCATGCTATGGCTGACGGCTTGACCTGACAGCCCGGAGATTGAAACACTCCGTGGCATGTCTAGCCTAGTGGGCTGTGCGCTCACATGGCTCGGAGAGTGTGGTCCCGTCATGGAATCGCTGACGGCTTGACCTGATGGCCCGGAGATTGAAACACTCCGAGGCGCGTTAAAACAGTGGGCTGGAGATTCGTGGTGTTCAGGTGTAGTTGTCCCGTTATGTTGGGACTGTATCCCTCAGTTGTTAGGGTGCATGTTGTGCAGGGAGTGAACGATGGGTCGTCTCAGCTCGGTCGGTACAGCTATATGCTGCGATGCGAGTCTTGGAGAGAGATTGGGTCGTCTCAGCTCGGTCGGTACAGCTATATGCTGCGATGCGAGTCTTGGAGAGAGATTGGGTCGTCTCAGCTCGGTCGGTACAGCTATATGCTGCGATGCGAGTCTTGGAGAGAGATTGGGTCTCAGCTCGGTCGGTACAGCTATATGCTGCGATGCGAGTCTTGGAGAGAGATTGGGTCTCAGCTCGGTCGGTACAGCTATATGCTGCGATGCGAGTCTTGGAGAGAGACTGGGTCGTCTCAGCTCGGTCGGTACAGCTATATGCTGCAATGCGAGTCTTGGAGAGAGACTGGGTCGTCTCAGCTCGGTCGGTACAGCTATATGCTGCGATGCGAGTCTTGGAGAGAGACTGGGTTGAAGCCCCCCGATATGGCCGACGTGCGCGGTTTTAGGATGGAGACGCCACGTTGGAAAGGCGGGGGGTGCTAACGGTTGACATGTAATGTCGGTGGTGGTCCTCATTGAGGGCTGCTGGGACGCAAGCACGGGATGCCTTTTGGAGATGCGGTTCGTGCGTGCGGCCACCATTTATGGACAGGAGCAGGCAGATTTATTTTGTTTGTGTCATGTCAATTTTATACATATATTTTTAAATGTAGATACTGGAGCAGCCCTGAAGTGCGACTTCTTTGCCCAGTACATAGGTCGGCCCTGAAGTACGACTTCTCGACCCGGGACGTAGACACACGTCCAGATTAGTGTGTGTAGAGGGATGCTCGACATGTTGGTCTTCGCCTTCTCTCCACCTGACGGATGGGAGGCTGGCAGGGTGGTGTGGAACCCTGCCATCCATGCGGTGGTTGTGCATCCAACGCGTCGGAATCTGTATATTTGTTGTTGCTAATTCCCCGTTTTCTATGCGTATCCCGAGGAGGGCTAGGTGTGCCATGGGTCGTTTGTTCACGTGTCATTGCTTCACCTTTTTGTTGATTGATGCTTGTATATAGTGTAAAGTTGTACAGGTTGGGTATGGTATTTATGGTTGCTTTCTTGTTCTCTTTTCTTTTCCTGTTAAGGCTCGCGTATTTTTTTTCTTTTTTTTCTCTCTCTCCCTTTCGTTAATTTAAACTTTCTAATTATTGACAGCCGGGACGGCTGGAGGCTACATAGAGGGGGGTAATGTAGTGACATAAGAAGGGAGGGGCTGCTGGGGGCTCTGGGTCCCTGGGCGGGCCAGGCGCTTAATCCCCTTGGCGCCAGGCGTTGGGTTCCCAGGCGCTTAATCCCCTTGGCGCCGCCAAAGGGGGGGGGGGCTGTGTGTGCTCTGTGGGATATCTGGGGGCGCACACGGCCCCACCCCTCGTTGGGGACTGGGCATAAAAGCGGAGCTACCTGGACGATCAGGCCCAGTTGTAACTCAAGACACACGACCCACGACCAGCCATCTGAAGACCCTGGGATGCTGTGAGAGCCAGTGGTGGGACTCTGGAACTCCCGACTCTACGACCTTGTGAGGGCGAGTTCCAGAGCGTAGCCAGAGTAGAGTATCTAGGCTGTGTACCTAGGCTGTGTACCTAGGCTCTAACAGAGTATCAGAACTGTTGGAGAGTTGGACTGTTGGAGAGTTGGACTGTTGGAGTGTTGTATTGTAATAAAGAAGTTACCTCTACAAGTGTCTCCGGAACCCGTTACAGCTGTACAATTATAAGGTAGTTAAAGTTTGACTTGGTTGATGACATCTTTCCAATGATTGCTTTATTTAAAACCATCCTCTCGGTGGAAGTTGTGTCTATGTTTGTATATCTGGATGGCTTCATGGACAAATCTTTGGTAATGTCCGGGAGGTTTGCAGAGTACTTTGGTATCGGAGAAAACGATATCATGAGAACCCGCTGTGTTGAAACAATGATCAGCCACGGCCGAAGAATTCGTTCTGCCGTGTTTCAAATCTGACTTGTGCTCGCGAATTCGGTCAGAAATATGTCGTTTCGTCTCCCCGATATAGCAGTCACCACAAGTACAACTCAATTTATAAACACCGGGGTACTGTAAGTCAGGAATAACATCCTTTACGGATGGGATCAGATCACGGATTTTGTGTACTGTATTGAATCGGACCTGGATCTTGTGTTTGTTTAGAATTTTGTAAATATTTTTGGTCGCGCCTGCTATGTTTGGCAACGTGATGATTTTGATCGGAGTCTCAGGTGGTTGTTTCTGCATGGTGGGAGAAACAGCTTGGCGGATAGTACGGTCAGAGTAGCCGTTCATCTTGAGGGCCAGATGTACATGTTTTAATTCACTGGCCAGGTGGTATTGGTCTGAGATGCAATGAGCCCTATGGAATAGTGTTTTGATGAGGGAATTATTTTGAGCCGGGTGGTGGTGGGAGTCAGGCTTCAAGTAGGAATCTATGTGGGTGGCCTTCCTGTACACTAAATGTCCCAAAGAGCCATCGGGCCTCCTCTCAAACAGAACATCCAGGAATGGTAGCTTGCCATCTTTCTCCACTTCCATGGTAAATTTGATGGATGGGTGTCTGGAATTGATGTGGGCTAGGAATTGGTTCAATGCTGGGAGGCCATGTGGCCAAATGACAAGTATCATCCACATATCCCTTCCATAGAGAAGGACGAAGGGTGGATGTCTGGATGGCATCTGATTCGAATTTCTCCATGAAAACATTGATTATCACTGGTGACAAGGGGGAACCCATAGGGGTGCCCTCATTTTGTTTGTAGCAGGTACCATTCCAGGTAAAGTAAGTGTTGGTGAGGCAGTGCCTAACCAGCGCAGGTACATCCGGTTTCAGTCCATGTTGGACCAAGTCTTCAATTATTGTTATGGTATCAGGCACTGGAACCTTGGTGAACAGAGAGACCACATCAAAACTGACGAGGACCTCATCAGGAGACAGTACAATGTTCTTGACCATGGAAACCAATTGGGTTGAATTTCGATTTAAAGCTTTCGTGACTGCAGGGATTCATCTTCTTGGTTCTTTTGGTAAAGTCATGTAGAAGGGAAATAATAAAATAATAAAAATAAAACCTAATAAAATAATTCTCACGACGTTTCGGCCACAACGCAAGCAGCTGTCCTCAGGTGAAGAACAGTTCTATCAGAAAGACAGCGTCTCATTCAGAAGAACAGGTCTGTCAGAAAGACAGCGTCTCATTCAGACGCTGTCTTTCCGACAGACCTGTTCTTCACCTGAGGACGGCTGCTTGCGTTGTGGCCGAAACGTCGTGAGAATTATTTTATTATGTTTTATTTTTATTATTTTATTATTTCCCTTCTATGTGACTTTACCGAAAGAACCAAGAAGACAATTGGGTTGAGTTAAGTACTGCTGAGGTGGTCTTGCCAGTGAAGGGAAGCGGAGTATCCGATAGAAAACGGGCTAAGTGAGTTGATCGTGGACACGATGGGCCGTAGTGGGGTACCTTTTTTATGGATCATGGGAAGACCATAGAATCTGGGAGGTCTTGCAGCCGAGGGTTTTAGGGAGGGACTTTTGGTTGGTTCGATTAGGGAAGTCGAACTAGTGATGATCTTGTTGGTTTTTGTCGTTAAGCTGTTCGTCGGATCACTTTTAATTTTGGAGTAACTACCATCATTGAGTAGGTCCTGGATTTTGTTGTTGTATGAGTTTTTATCCATGATGACAGTAGCATTGCCCTTGTCGGCCAAGAGGATGACTATATCATCCCTCTTTTTCAAATTTGCGAGTTCAGAGCGTTCGTTTTTGCTAATGTTGCTAATGGGTTTCTTAGCATTCTTGAGAATAGTGGCTATTTCAGCTCTCGCAACGTCCGCTTGGATGTGTCCTATGCCTTTTGAAGGCTACATCGACCTGAGAGATCACATCCTCTACTGGTATATGTTTAGGGGTGACAGCAAATGTTTTACCTTTAGCCAGTACTGTTTTCAGATTGTCCGAAATCGGGATGTTACTCTGATTGATAACGATCTTGTTAACATCCAGGTTTGTGATGTGTGGTTCTGGCTTCTTCTTTGATAGGAGGTTGAATTTAGAGATCAGGTTAGCTTTACATTTGGCTGACAGTGAATCAGCAGAGGCAGCTGTCATGTTGTCAATGCGGTTCCAATCGGAAGGGGACATTTTTTGTGTTAACATTAAATGTGATTGTAAGAGAGTCTTGTCTAAACTATCGAGTTCAAATCGTAGTAATCTTTTTCTTTCTGAGATTAGTGATAGGCTAGCTTTAAACAAAATCCGCTTAGAGTTCGGTGAAGACACAGCAGCAGATGTGAGTGTGAAAGCGATGGGGTGTTATTATGTTTGCATGTATGAACATGTGTGTTTTGCGAGCTAACGTGTGTGTGTGTGTAAGAGGGATTATCTATGTGCATGAGTGCCTGTGCCTGCATAATGCTGTCCTTATCCGGCGCCGATACCAGGGCATGGCGTTCACAATCGCAGAGCGGCAGATCCTCGGCCTGCAGGGTCTCATCCCCCCGAAAGTGGAGAGCCAGGATATCCAGGCCGATCGCTTTAAGGAGAACTTGGCTGGACTCTCTGAGCCACTGCAGAAGTAAGTCCAAAGCCTGCTCCTTGTCCGCCCACCCACCCGCCCACTTGCTCCATCGCCTGCTGGCCTGCTCGACCACACGCTGATGCTGCTGCCGGGCCCCAGCACACACTTCGTGTGCAGAAGGCTCCTGATGTGTTTATTATACATGTAGGAGGAAACAGGAGCACCTGAAGATAACCCACAATGACGAGGAGGAAACACTTCTACGTGACTTTACCGAAAGAACCAAGAAGAGGAAACACTCTGTACTTGTACGGATGGAAACAGATGGTAATTAGTCTACTTGCAGGACTGCCTTCTCCTGGCAAGCCAGGGTATGGCACCTCTTCGGTCCCCCTTGGGAAGGGAGTTTCAAAAAAATCTGTGTGCGATCCACCAATGCTCACTGCCTCCACCGTGCTAGATCACAGGCCACGTCCAGCGTCGCCACCATCACCACCGGTTTAGCTGTGTATGATTCCTCACCGTTTACACACCGGTCGTTTATGGTTCATGCAAATTGAATGCAGTCGTTCGATTTAGGCCAACGGGTGGAATGAGGCCGAACGGGCATAACGGTAGACTGAAGAGACGCAGTGGAATTTCCGTCGCAGTCGAACTGGGGCCCCGCGTGGCGGCGGTTCACAGAATGGCGCCAGACTGCCACCAACCTGCACTGTGCACCATGCGCAGATGAACGCTGACCTTGCTGCTCCACTCTCACCAGCAGCACCACTGCCTCATCACTCCACTAATTGTGGTGTTGGCTGCGGTGTGTATGATGTGACTTTGTGTTTTAACTCCACCGTGTGTGATGTAGTGTGTGTGTTAATATTGCGGTGTGTGTTGACTGCACTGTGTGGGACGTGTGTAGGTACATCTATGTGATGGGCATACAGGAGCGGAACGAGAAGCTTTTCTATCGCATCCTGCAGGACGACATTGAGCACCTGATGCCCATTGTGTACACGCCCACTGTGGGGCTCGCCTGCTCGCAGTATGGCCACATCTTCCGCCGGCCCAAGTAAGACACCCCGCCTGCTCACCTCTGAGATCTGACCCTTGAAACAGATCCGCATATAGGGGTCTGGTGGCTTGGTGGCAATGTGACTGGGTGGTGACATGGCAGGCTGGAGTTGTTGCGGCGTGGCAGGGTGGCGACGTGGCAGGGTAGGGTCGTGGCATGGTGGGGTCATGGCAGGGTGGCAACGTGGCAGTGTAGGGTTGTGGCAGGGTGGCGACGTGGTAGGGTGGAGTCGTTGTGGCGTGGCAGGGTGGCGACGTGGTATGGTGGTGATGTGGCCAGGGTGGCGACGTGGTAGGGTAGGATCTTGGCAGTGTGGCGTCGTGACAGGGTGGCATCGTAACAGGGTGATATGGTGGCAGGGTAGGGTCATAGCAGGGTTGCGACGTGGCAGGGTAGGGTCATGGAATTCTTGGGGGTGACACCCTGGACAGCCTTGTCAGTGATATTCTTCATCGTGAGGATTTATCCAGGGGAACTCGCAGATCAAAACAAATCAATACTTAAGCTCCTGTTGTGTCCACCAAATCGCGTATGTTTAAAAATTTTATGTACACTTCATGAAAATGATACAACTTGAGACTCATCGGGGTTTCACTTCTGAACAGATGAGACTTGCGGTACCGATGAGTGGTATGGTGATTGTAAAACTTGTGTGTTTTGCAACTAGTTGGCCTTTGGCTGCTTCCGCACCATTACATTTGTATTGTCTGCTGTACTTATTGGACTCTTTGCTTTCATTTACATAAATTAACAGGGAAGTTCAACTTCTGTAACCCCACCCCTTCCTCTAGAGATGGACTTGGGCTGGTGTGGGCCTGGTGTGGGGCTGGCTTATTTAAAGGCAGCGCTGCCGCATTTCCCCGTGAGGCTTGGCAACACTGATCTAAAGCTATGGCAGTTTGAGAGGCAACATGAGTGCGGTAGTGGTGGGGCTTGTGGCAGCGCAGCACTATGAGGTACGGGGGAAAGGACAATGGGGGTTAAGGTTGGGGCGCTGTGACAGCCACGACACAACTCCTTCTATTGGGCACATAACCTAAGCTACGGGATTGCAGAGCGCAAACCCTGTGTGCCAGAGGTCGGCTTTGCAAGACATTCTTCACAGACTTGTGAAACACCCTCCAAGTGGCATTGGTTTAGCCACCTACTCATGAGGGGATCACGCACCCCTGCATGCTGCACTGTAAGATCGGTGTTTTGCACATGGAAGTCCAGCTGAGGTTTTTAACGACCAAAGCTCAAGTTGAGCCACATTCAGTGGACACCCACGTTCCCGTCATCATCCCTGGTTGACTGGGAAACGGTTTCATTGAGCGGGGCCAAAGCCCAGATTCATGCCAGGATCTAATTGTCAGTGGCGCTATCTTGGCCCTCTGACGTCTCAGCCACTTGGCCATCTGGGGAATGGACTTGTTGTGAGTGGATATGCGGGATTAGCGTGTGAGAGTTACCGATGTGGTGGTGGTGGAGCGACAGCTGAATCGCCGCACCCTGGGTAACCTGAGTAACGGCCCATGTATTCACTTTCCCACAGGGGTCTATTCATCAGTATCAACGACAAGGGCCATGTCCGCTCTGTCCTCGACAACTGGCACCGGCCTGAAGTTAAGGTAACACAAGTGATGGTGATGGTTATTATGGTGGTGATTATGGTGGTGGGGGTGATGGTTATGGTTGTGATGATGCTGGTTATGGTCATATTGGGGGTCATTATGGTTGTGGTGGTGGGTTGCGGTGGTGGTGGTTATAGGGGGAACGCTGGCGCAGTGGTTCGCACGTTGTGCTCGAACCCGGCAACCCGAGTTTGATTCCCGCTCACGGTCAACACCAGTTGCGATTATCTGAACTGTTTCTTGGCCTCCCCTATGTCGACTCAGCTTCATAAGTGCTCACTAGCAGCACTTTCCCCGAACATTCTATTTAGCCTATATGGGGGTCTTTCTCTTTGTCTCTAGCCTGGCATAGGTGATGTGGTTGTTCTGTGTTCGTTTTTGTATCTATGTGTAGAGGTGGTACGTACTGGGGTGTAGCGAGCCATTATGTAGCCGGTGTCTACATCACGGTCCGTGCATGGGGTGGCTACATCGACGTCCGCATATAGCCTGCCCCTCGGGGGCAGGGGGTATATAGGGCGGTGCGCGAGAGAGCTCTGGGAGTTGTTGGAGCCAGTGCAGAAGGAAGACGGAGCAAGCTAGATAGGACCCTGGGACCCCTAGCCCTGCCGCCCTTATCAGGGCCGGGACTTTGTGTGGCTCAGTGGTGAGACCCTGGGAATCCCCGGCCCGACGTCCTTATCAGGCCCGGGTCCGATGGGCCAGTGGTTGGGACCTGTACCCTGGCTAGGTCGGGTCAGATAGCCTCCTCTAGAAATTACATAGCCGGAGGACCTGAGAGCATAGCCGGTGTCAGGCATGCGTAGCCGTAGGCTGTGTTCCTAGGCTGTATAGCTGACTGTTACTGTAGAGTGTTATAAATAAATGTGTTGCCTCCGTCAACTCGTCCCCTGCATAATTTACACCATTACATATGTGTAGTGTATTGTACACTGGTGTGAGGTGGAGTGCGGTAGTGTGAAGTTATTTGTGCGGTGGTTTTATGCTTGCAGTGTGTGTGGTATGTTGTGAATGTGGTGGTGTGTGTATTGTGGTGTGTGGTGTATGGTGCCGTGTTTGGGTGTGTGACGTGTGGGGGTGGGAGCGGTGGGGTAGATTTGGTGGAGGTGACGGTGAGTGGGGGGTGTGTAAGTCTTTCAATATGTGTATGTAGTTATTGAGCTGTGCGCCACGAACCCAATTACCCGAGTTCGATTCCCGCTAACGGCAAACATCGGTGATGAATATCTAAACCGATCCTTGGCCTTCCCTAGGTCGACTCAGCCTCAAATGAGTACCTGGTGTGGTTGTGTAAACATCACCACTAGGGAGACAAAGGCATGGTGCTGGCCACCCACCCCCTCGTGTGCCATTCCGGCCTTCATAGATACTCGCTAACAGCGCTTGCCCCAACAGTCTCTTGTAAGGTTATACAGAGGATTTTTGTATGTAGTTAGATCAGTGTGTGCGAGGGGCTGGTAACCCCCTCCACCTGGAACTATTTTCGACCTAATACCACGGTGGAAATGTAGGGGTTATTACGGGAGAAACAGCGGACGACAAACACAGGGGTGTCTGCACTCACACACACGGGTGGTCACACCGACGTCCGCATCCGTTATCCCCCACGCCCCCGGCCCTCTGAGGGGATCCCTATAAAAGGCGGGGAGCCAGAGAGCTCGAGGCAGTTCGACACGAAGCTGACCAGTGAAGATCGAAGACTCGGAGATTAGGCCCTGGGACTCCCCTATCTCGCTGCCCTTGTCAGGGCCGAGCTGGGTAAGCCAGCGGCACGGCCCAAGAGCTGCCGGACCTCTGCCCTTGTCAGGGCAAGGCCGGCTTAGCTGGTGCCGAGATCTGTGCTTGCCAGGGCCAGATCAGTCGGCCTCCCGTAGCCCATTACAGGAGGACTGGGGAACAGGACAGAGGGCTTAGTACTAGGGTGGGTTTCCCATAGTACGGGTGAAGGGGCCGTTACCCCTTCAACTATTGTGCCTGTCACTGAGTAAATAAACAGAGTGTGCCTCAACTCCGACCTCGTCTCCTCGAACTTACTACAGAAACATCAAACTAAGCTTGTGCTGGAGATTCCCAGAGGAATAGGTATTCACAACACCTTCTAGCAAAACCCCTCTTGGCAGAGCCAGACTCTACCCCTCTACTCGGGATTTTTCAATAAATACCAGAACACGGAGGTTGGCCACGTGGAATGTTCGAACTCTCGCTGCAGAAGAGAGGCTGCCATTCTTCTTTCAGGAGATGGACTGGTACCACCTGGAACTCTGGAATACAGGAGGTCTGGTGGACTGGTTTTGGCTCCAGTCACCACGAGGGGTGGACAGTCCTCCGCTTGGGGCAGGAAACTGCTAAACAACAGGGAGTGGCATTGCTTTAAAAAAAAGGAATGAAAGGGGTGTGGGAGCGTGGAGGTAAGTTGTGGAAAGCTGTGAGTCCCAGGCTGCTGTGTGCTTGTCTCCCATGAACAAGCGGAGAGGAATGGTGGTGGTGGTTGCTTAAGCCCCCACCGAATATGAACATCAGAGGAGGGATGCAAGCAAGACTAATGAGTGTGATGCCTTCTATATCCTCCTGTTCAAGGTACTTGTAATGCCCAAGTGGATAATGATACAGACACCTGGGCTGGAGTGATTGGAAGGCATGGACTAGATCAGCTCAATAATAACAGTAGCGGGCTGCTAGACTTTTGTGCAGCCCATGGGCTTGTAATTTTCAACATGATGTTCCTGCATCGGCATAACCACACAACATCATGGATGTATGTCGGGTCCAAGCAATAAAACCTGCCTTTTTGGCACCAGGGACCAGTTTCGTGGAAGACAATTTTTTCACGGACCGGGGGGGGGGTTATCATTGGGTCTTTTCCCCTTTTTAATAGAAGCTCTCCAGCGACGTTTGTTTTTTACTCATTTTGGCTAGGGTTAGCTTGTGGACTTACCAAAACTGTGACTGAGACAAGTGCGCAGTGTGGGAAAGAGGCGCGGACGGAAGTGGTAAATAAAATAATGGGCGGGCCACGCGCGAACTCACCGCTCACCTCCTGCTGTGCGGCCCGGTTCCTAACAGGCCACGGACCAGTACCGGTCCGCGGCTCATGTCATTGACACCAGGACCTACCGTTGAGCTGATCTACCCACTGACCATCGGAATGTCATGTGTAAGATGCACCTGCCATTCTTCCACTGCGGTAGTTGGTGTGCACCTAGGACCCCATTCAAGCCCACAGTAGCAACTGGAAATCGCTTGCAGGTGGGGTTGGTATCATCTCCCCCCTCCTGATGCTGAGGGAAATGGGTGAGGTTCAGGACTGGCTCATGTCGGCATTGGTTATACAGCAAGTTGGCACAGTAGGGGGCACAGCTGGTGCAGCTGCCAATCATCTCAGTCAGTCAACCCATGTCACCTGGGTCTGTCCTGTGACTTCCTGTAAGCGAGCATTTTTACTGCATGGGGCCTCAAGGTACATCAGTTAGTTCCTTGCACAGGCGAATGGCAGCTGCTGTTATTGTTAATGGTGGTGGGGGTGTATCTCGTGGTGGTGGGGTGGATGTGGTGGTGGTAGTAGTGGTTATGGTGGTGGTTATAGTGCTGGTTGTTATGGTGGTGGTGTTGGGATATGGTGGTGATTATGCAAGTGGTTATGGTGGTCATGGTTTTGGTGGTTACGGTGGTGGCCGTATTGCTGAATGCTATTTGATCATCTTTTTGCCGTGGTTGTTCCCATCATCGTGGTTGTTCCCGGCCGTATTGTGGCGGCAGGCAATCGTGGTTACGGACGGTGAGCGCATTCTGGGCCTGGGAGACCTGGGTGTGTACGGAATGGGCATCCCCGTGGGGAAGCTCTGCCTCTACACAGCCTGCGCCGGCATCCGCCCCGAGTGCTGCCTGCCGGTGTGCATCGACGTGGGCACTGACAACGAGGTGTGTGGGGGGTGGCACTGTGGGGGGTAGGACGGGGGAAATGTGGGGGGGTTGCGCAGGGCGGGCGTGCAGATGGAGATGTGTGAGAGACACAGGAGCTGGAACTTGGGGCAATGTGGGGGGGCAAGGGACTTAGGGGGTTTGGGTTCGGGTTAAGGCTGTAGTTGGGGTTATAGTTGAAGATAGAGTTGAGGATAATGTTAGTGTGAGGGTTGGGGAGAGTGTTGATAGAGTTGGGGTTGGTTATGGTTATTATTGGGGATAGAGTTAGGATTAGGTTTAGAGTTGGAGTTAGGTTTTGGGATGGAGTTGGTTTAGGGTTGTTGTTTTGGGTTTAGGGATTACAGGAGCGTTAGAGCGCCATGAGAGAATAAATTGCATACCCCTGTGTGTCGTGAGGACCCCTGTTTGTGTGGTGAGGGCCCCTTTGTGTGTGATGAGAATTCCTGTGTATGTGGTGAGGACCCTTTTTGTTAAGTGAGGTCCCCTTTTGTGTGGTGAGGACCCTGTTTGTGTGGTGAGGTGTATGCATTGATGAATGTTGAACTTATTTCGCACCATACGTATCCAACTGTGAGAATTGGAGGTGCAGGGGGAAGGACAACAACCTAAACACGAAAAACAGTTCTAAAGAAATCGGTTTCAATCTAGATAAAAGAAAGTGCATATCTCTAGTCACTTCCTAATATCGGAAGTAAAAGCGTTCTGGATGGCTGCAGAAGCGCATCTGAAAACGCGCGATGCAGTGACAGTCTTTGTTTGATAGTTAGCGAAATGTCACTGCTAGAATGTCCGGACTTTGTGTGATGGTTTATGCTCTTTGATGAGATCAGCAAGGTATTGTGGTTCATTTGTGGCAAGCACTTTGTGTGTAAGGAGTGCAACCTTATAATGTATTCATTTAGCAACCGAAAGCCAATGCAGCTCAGCGAGCACCGGACGGACATGGTCGGATCTTGCAGTCCCCGTCACGACACGTGCGAAATTATTTTGTACACGCTAATGTTCATAATCAACGTTTTTGGGGGGCGGATGCCGGCGCAGGCTGTGTAGAGGCAGAGAGCCTACGTGTTAAACACGCTAATGTATTTGCCAGACGTCCCGTACAGTAGTAAGTTGCAATAATCAAGCCTTGTCGATACTATGCTACATGCCACTGTGTTGGCTATGTCACAACTCAATAGTGGCCGAATGTGTCTTAGAGCCTTGATATTAAAATGGCAGGACCTGACGATATTTTGCATGTGGTGATCAAATGACATTCTGGTTGAGTATGGTGCCGAGGCTCTTTAGATGAGTATAAAACTGAATCCTGGAGTCTGCAACCACTACTCCTACTGCTCCCACATTTTTTTTCACCTGAGCCCAAGTGTCAACCAGCAAAACCTCCGATTTTCCTGGATTAAGCAGCATTTTGAATCGTGATAACCACACGGGCACCGCTCGCGTGCAATCTTCAAGATTACCGTGGCTTTCCATATCTAACTTTGACTTCACTGCGGTGTACAATTGTGTATCATCAGCATATCGATGGAACGTGATGTCTTGCAATGAGATGACATCGGCCATCAGGGAGATATGTTGAAAATAGAAAGAGCCCGAGGACGGACCCCTGTGATACACCAACTAGGTACGGCATAGGCGATGTCTCTTCATCACCCAGCTTGATAATCTGTGATCGACCATGTAGGTATGACTCAATCCACCCCAATAACATACCTGATACACCGAACCTTGACCTTAGCCGCACGATGTGTATCTCATGGTCGATGATGTCGAAGACTGCTGAGAGATCGAGGCCAACCAATGCTGTGGCGTACCGGTAATTCATAATCTTGTAGAGGTCATCATTGATCTTTATTAGAGCTGTCTCATTGCTGTGGAACTTCCGTGTAGGCCGACTGTAATGGGTCGAATCTGCTCATCGCAGTGACATCAGGAATTCACCGCTTCAGACAAAGGCGCTCTGTGATCCTTGAAATAATAATCAGGTTTGAGATCGGGCGATAGTTTGCGAGGTCACTATGGCTCAAGCCAACTTTTGTCAGGAGCGGTGTTACCTGTGTATTGAGTCCAACTGAGTCGCAGACATTGTCTTGGGAGCAACACTATTTATTACATCAACTCAACACAACATAACGTAACCTACACTCGGGTGTTGAACGCCCATCTAACCACACTACGGCAGAACTAGACACGGTCCCGCTATCCCGGTTCGAACCACGAGCTGGGTCCCGGACCGCGTGGCTAGAGGCTTCTTCAACCCGACGTGGATCTTCACTCACCAACAGTCAAGAACCCCGAGCCCCACACGGGGCCCCCGTTATATCGGCCCGGGCTGAGGCTGGCTCTGCCTCTCGCCCCGCCCACCTTCTCCATCTCTCTGGCCCTTTCCCAAAGGCTCCCGAGAGCTCTTCTATACCACATGACCACCCAGCGGCCCCCGTCCACAGGTGGCCCCCCTCTAATATCATCTGGTCACGTGTCGGCAAGTCAACCAGCGTATCATGCCCCACCGTAACCCTGACTGGCTGACACTCTCTCTTGCTCCCTCACCGGGAGCCCGCACCGCACACTGTACGTGATGCCTCTGCACGAACCAGCGCTCACCCAAGCCCCGCTAGGGCTGGTACTACGCCTAGTAACCGGGTTCCACATAATGACAACATTATCCGCCGTGGCCTCGCAAGCCCAGCACCACACAGTGACATTCACAGTCACTACACCTGTGCCAATTTTAACCAGTCTGGAAAACAGCCCTGGCTGAGTGAAATATTTGACAGGTGGACAATCGGTGGCGCAAGCATGATTTGGCAGCCGTGCGATGAACATTGACACCTTTGTCACTGACGTTGGTACCAGGGTCTCGAATTTTGCATTGGTTCAAGTTTGATCAAAGTCATATTGCAGACCAGGAGAATGTATTGCATTCAAGTTAGAAACTACCGTCTTGATCGTGGCTTTTTTTATTGGTGAAAAACGTTGCAAGTACTGTGCACAGACCAGTTTGACAAGTTTATGGGTGATTGGAGTGCAGCAGAACCTTCACTACACACAGCAGAATACAGCGGTCGTGAGCCGACTCTAAGATGTGCAGAGCATAGAACGATCTGCAAGACTCAATAATGAGTCGGTTGGCAGATCTGCAGGCGGCTGTGTAAGCGAGTTATACAGTCTTAGAACCAGTTTTCTTCCAAAGATACTTCAGCCTCCTCCGGGTATGTTTCACTGCGATTTTCTCCGGTGTCAGCTAGTTACTACGCACTTTTTTCCCCGATCTCTTTGTGCTTGTTCTGATGGCCACCAGTTCATCAAGAACAGCAGTGATGTCACTTTATAATTGAGCTGCAAATTAATCGACAGTCGATGCAGAATTTATAAACATCGATGATAACCGGATCTTCTGATGGAAAGCATCGTGATCCAGTCGTTTGCAGTCTCTGTATGATATCGTTGTGACGGGTGGGCGAATAATCGGTAATGCCACTTTGGACTGTCACGAGACTGTGATCTGAAATACGTCTTCGATAACTACGTTGGTCACAGCTATGGCATTGGCGGATGTGAAGATGTGATCCAGTATATTTTCCGAGTGACATGTTTCGCCAATGACATGTTGGGTTCAACTTTGACTGTCGATAATCTCGGCGAGATCACTGTACCGGTCGGTCCAGGACAGTTCAGATCACTAAAGTTGATGTAGTGAGAACCAAATGACCCACAGTCTAGCAGACCAGAAAGATCGAAAAAGAATTCCGACAGCGGTGAAGACGGCGGTCAATATATGACAACAATTGTAAACCCCCGATGCAAGGAATGGTCCTTGCAAGCTTTGACATCAAGCCATTATTCAGACTATGTCGTAGGTTGATAACAAGTCCACAAAATCTGCGCCGGTCTTCCTCAAGAGTGATGGGGCAGTTGTGGAGAAAGTGGATCATTTTCTGTACTTAGGCAATGTGCTTATGGCCAACTCCGGTTTAGCAGCTGATGTCTCACTCCGAATCAATCGAGCGGCATTATATTTTTCTCAGCAGCGTAACATTTTGTGGAAGCTACCTGGCCTGTCGTTACATACAAAGCTCTGGGGTTTTTTTTACCAGAGTCATGCCCTTCCTTTATGCTTGCGAAATGTGGAGCCCTTTAAAGGAACATCTGTGCCGGTTTGAAACATTCAGGCTCATCTGCCTACGATCCATCCTGGGTTTAACCAAACTGAATTGTGTAAGAAGTTTACAGATCCTTGAAAGATCTGGAAAAAGTCCCATCGGTGAGCGCCTCCGGTAAGCGAGGCTGCCTTGGCTGGGTCATGTAGCCCGCATGCCCAGCCACTGCATGCCCAAGCCGTTTCTGTTTGGCTGGATAGATAGGGCTAAATGGATGTGACACGGGCTAGAGAAGAGATGGACTGATGTGGTACAAAAGGGTGTGAAGCTGATTGGATTTGCCGATGATTGGTACCAGAGTTGGGGTTACGGTTATAGTTGGGGATAGAGTTGGGATTAGATTTAGAGTTGGGGTTAGGGTTTGGGATGGAGTTGGGTTTAGGGTTGTTGCTAGTTTTGGGGTTATGGGTTACAGGAGCGTTAGAGTGACGTAAGTGAGAAGAAGTTGCAGACCCCGGTGTGTGTGGTGAGGACCCCTGTGTGTGTGGTGTGGTTCCCCATTTGTATGTGGTGAGAATCCGGTGTTTGTGTGGTAAGCACCCCTCTGCGTGGTGTGGACCCTGTGTGTGTGGTAGGCACCCCCGTGTGTATGGTGAGGCCCTGTATGTATGCGGTGAGAACCTCGTGTGTGTGTGGTCAGGACCTCGCGCGTGTGTGGTGAGGACCTCGCGCGTGTGTGGTGAGGACCTCGCGTGTGTATGGCCAGGACCCTGTCTGATTGTAAGGACCCCTTTGTGTGACCCCAGTCCCTGCTGGAGGACCCCTTCTACATGGGGCTCTACCAGAAGCGCGACCGCTCGGAGTGCTACGATGAGCTCATCGACGAGTTCATGGAGGCCGTTGTCGAGAAGTGAGTCACGTGACAGCGACTTGCCTGGGGGAGCCGTGTTGGACAGCGGGAGCCAGGTTGGACAGGGGGAGCCGTATTAGACAGGGCGATCTGTGTTGGATAGGGTCGAGCCGTATTTGACAGGGACCTTTGTGTTGGGACAGGGGGAGCCGTGTTAGACAGGGGAATCTTTGTTGGACAGGGGGCGCCATGTTGGAGAGGGGGAGCCGTGTTGGACAGAGTGACCTGTGTTGGAGAGGGGGAGCCGCGTTGGAGGGCGGGAGCCATATTGGAGGACGGGAGCCGTGTTAGACGGGGAGCTGCATTCAAAAGCTAACACATTTGACCGAGATGTGAGTTGGCAAAATGAGCGACTCATTAATGAAACACGGCTTGCGGGACCCCTCCCTCCTACTCTCCTCTTCCTTCTCTCCCTCCTTTTCCTTGTGCCACGCAGGTACGGCTACAACACCCTGATCCAGTTTGAAGACTTCGGGAACCACAACGCATTCCGCCTCATGCGCAAATACCGCGAGAAATACTGCACCTTCAACGATGACATCCAGGGCACGAGTACCCACACCCCCAGCGTCCCCCCCTCACTACCACTCCCCACCTCCGGGACCTGGCCTTGTGCCACCATTCTTGTCATCGGCGTCGAGGGACATCGACCGGCGGCGGTGATGGCTGTGCCTAGCGTGCCGCTGTATGTGGCGTGCGCCGATCCTGACTCGGTCTTCTCCTCACTCCCTCTCCACCTCCTGCGGTGCAGGAACGGCAGCGGTGGCACTGGCTGGGATGCTGGCAGCGCAGAAGGTGACGGGGACAACGCTGTCTCAGAGCCGCTTCCTCTTCCTCGGCGCCGGGGAGGTGGGGAGCCGGCCAGCGCACCAACACCCACACAAACGGGAGCATGCACAAACCAGTATATAACTGCTACAGCCGCTAAGTTGTGGTAATGTCACCACGGCACTTGTGCCAGGTTACGTGCACTTTGAGGCCACGTGAAGTGTCGGAGGCCTGCTGGAGGTCATGGGACAGACACAGGTGCTATGGGTTGACTGAGATGACTGACAGATGCACCACCTGTGCTCCCCACTTTGCCAACTTGCTGCGTTTTAGTCACCCAGCACTATGCTCGTTGTTATGAGTTTCGCTCCTCTGTCCTCTGTTGGTGTTAGAGGGCGGCTGCCTCCCAACTGCCCAGTAGCGTCGTCCTTCACGAGCCTATGCTCTCTCACACGGGTGCTCGTTCCCTCCTCCCCTCATCTCACACAGGCGGCCACCGGCATCGCAAATCTAATCGTGATGGCGCTCACGGAGCAGGGCGTGCCACCCGTGGACGCATACGGGCAGGTGTGGATGTACGACAAGCACGGCCTCATGGTCAAGGTGAGGGCTGCACGCTCTTCTGCGCTCAGCAGAGCTCCTGTGGTGCGAGGCCAATTACCGTGAATGTCCATTGAGTGGTCTCGTGATCTTTGCAAGCTTCATCATGGGTGGCGACATAGCCCGGTTTGAATCTTGACGGGCCTGCTTTAAACTTAGGATGCTATGCAGAGTCCGCCTCATGCGCAAATACCGCGAGATATACTGCACCTTCAACGATGACATCCAGGGCACGAGTACCCACACCCCCCACCATCCCCCCCCCACTACCACTCCCCACCTCCGGGATCTGGCCTTGTGCCACCATTCCTGTCATCGGCGTCGAGGGACATCGACCGGCGGCGGTGATGGCTGTGCCTGTGATGTAATTCGAAGAGGAGTTGGCCATTGTGTGCCGGCATAATTGTCCAGACTTTTATACATTTTCTCAGAGCTTAAATAGAGCCAAAATTGAAGTGTTAAACAAAAATTGTTCACTCAGTGGCTACCGCCAGACTCAAACTGTTCTTAAGGAATAAACATTCCATATCCACGCCAGTACAAGATATCTAATATGTAAAAACTCCATGCGGAAGCCCCGTTCTGTACACTAGCCCCGCATTGGGAAAACCTGCAGTTCTGCGGTGATTGTGGCCGCGATACACTGCAGGTTGCAGTGCTCATTTAACCGCGATATTCTGTGTTCGCCATAATTTATCGGTTACAGTACCTGCACTATTGTGGTCTTTGACCCCGATACTCTACCCTACTGAACTGACTGTACCGTGATCTCTCGACCAAATTAGTCTCAAGAGCCAGGCCCAGGATAAGTAGGCCTTGAGGAGCCCCTCCAAGATGCGCCTGAGGAATTCCCGACCCAGCATTACTCCTGCGCAGGGTTGGAGAAAGAGGTTTCCCCAGGGCGACTCAGAAGACCCTGGTCTGAGCAGCCATCTAATCTTGACTGGGATGGATTTCTTTTCGAGCTTGTACTTGTGGAGGCCAGGTTTAGGGCAGCCCTGTCCGGGTTGCCCCCCCAGGACCAAGTCCAAGCACCACAGGCACCCTTCCGGGTAATAATAATTATAATTTGCTTTTATACTGCATCATTCATGCAATCTCATCCCACAACACTGCGCATACATTATCCAGTTTCATACAAAAAATACAAAAATAAAACCCCACTAATTAGCAAAAAAAGGAATACATAAACAATGAGAAAAAAATGCACATAAGAAAAATAATCGCAGAGAAGCCTCGGGGGCAGTCGGGCTAGGAAGATGAAGGCTATGGCTAAAGTTTAATCTTCAAGGCAAGGGATTTCTTTTTCTTCAGATAGGTATGATAAAAAATTTTAAAAAATATTTATTGCATCATTCATGCAAAATCCCACCAAATAGTGATTCTGAGGCTACTTGTAATAATTATAATTACAAAAGATATATTTTTTGAACCATAAAAAATAACAATTCCCGGGGAACTCCGATTCGCAGGAAGGTTCAGCCTCATCTTCCTCAGCCTTTGAGACTGGGGGGGATTTTTATATCCACCACTTTATCCGTAGGGCTTGTGGCTCCTGAGTTCAGTGGTCACGGAGGGCAAGTCCAAGAAAGACAAGGAGAGGAAGAAACAAACTTCCCCCCTTTATGTTCCTCTGCCTCTGCTGAACTTCCGATTAGATGCTTTACGGTCACTGAAATCAGTGGACTGGAGCTATGCTGTGTCTGAGGACCAGCGCGAGCAGCTATTAGTGGTTCTGCCACATTTTGCCTCATAAGCACGCTGCCTGGGAATACCTCTCTTTGGTTCTTCCTGACTCGGTGGACAGCCCTGCTTAACAATGAGGCTCAGAAGGCAGTCTCTCTGTCTGTCCAGGCCACGGTGTATGTAACATACAAGGAAACATTGTCAGTGTTAAGTCTTAAGGTCAATTATTAAGCTGGCCTTTACCTGGTTAATTGGAATGGATATGGTTGTCGTGATGACTGCCATTTGTTCTCTTTTGTACACGCTGCAGACTATGAAGGCCTCACTGGCTTGAGGGTCAGTTCCTTTTTGGGAAAAAAACATCCAGGAGGCCCGTGCCCTCAAGGAGAGTGAGCAGCTGGAGAAGGCCATGGCCTACCTAGTTTTTTCATAGTACCCAGTCCTACATTTAGCCCTATGCCCACCAGTCTGGTCAAAGGGGGTCAGCCCTTCTGGAGGGGTCGGGCCTTTGACAGGGAAACCCAGGGGTCGAGTTCGCTTCTCAGGTGGCTATGACAAGTCTTCTTGTCCCCCTGTCCTCCAACAGTGAGGGGGGCCCTGAGGCGCTAGTAGCTCCAGTGCCTTACCAGCAAGTGGGTCGTTTCTCTCATTCTCCACTCAGGACAAGTAGGTCCTTGGCTTCTTGGAATGAGGCTGTGTGTTGGGAGTTCCATGGTCATCTCCGCGGTCCTCTCTGGGTCAACTCCAGTACACCACAGGCCCCTGCATTGACAGTGGCCTTGGAAACAGAGGTGCCAAGGTTGGCCGACATACGGGCGATTGTGAAGGTTTGGGCTGTCAATGATGCTTAGGCCATTCTTGCCGGCCACCACTGCTTTATGCGCTTTTGCATGATGGGTCGTCACTGACGTTTCCGCATCGTTCTCTTCGGCCTTACGTTCAATGGGGCTAATTGTCTTTTGTCCCCCTCGCAATGACTCGAGCAACTGAGCACTATTCTCGACATTGTCCAGACTCGGGCTTTCATGACACCCGAGAAGATAGCCACTATGCCCGGTCTGGTCGTTTTTCTGTTTTCCACTCATGGTGGCCCAGCCCGGTCTTTTCTGGTGCTCGTCGGCCAGCATCACGGTCGATGTCCTCCCTTGGTTTGTCTACGCGTGTGAGCCCTCCATGGTCTTTTTGCTCAAGAATAATAACAATTGACATTTATAAGGCGCAATTCATCCAGGGATCTCAGTGTACCAAAGGGACCCTGTCTTGGGCACTATGGGCCATTTTGTGGCCCTCCAGACAAAATCAGGGACCTCCACTATTGGGCCCTTGCAGCCGATCTCAACCAGAGGGAGCCTCTGGGCTTCTTCAATGAGCAGCTCGTGGTCGAGACGAACGCCTGCCTGCTCAGCTGGGGCGCATTCTCTGAGCCTTAGGCAGTGCAGGGGCTCCTGCAGACAAATACTCCTCCAGCATCAATGTCCTCAATCTCCGCACAATTTGTTCAGTGCTGATTCAGCTGCGCTTAGTCGTCTCGAGCAAGCGGCTAAGCAGGTAGTCAATAGATCCTGGTGAATGGTCTCTACACCCGGTGGTTTTTGGTCCACGCGTTAGCCGCTTCTGGTTGCCTGCCACCGACTGGGTTGCTGTGAACAATGCAAAGCTGCTCGATTATGCGTTGCACTACCTTTGGCCCTACGCTTTCGCCATGGATGCAGTGACATGGCCATGGGGGCAGGGTCGGATCTATTGTTTGTCTGCTTTTCCCCTGGTACCCAGGGTGCTCCTGAAGGTACAGAAGGAGGGGGCTTACGCCAGTTCAGCAGGGGACACGGGCACGTTTTTATTGCTACTCCTGTGTATTTTTTTACCTTTATTCTATTTTATTTGTGATGTATGATTGTTTTTTTACTTTATACTACAATCGTTTATACTCTTTATTTTATTTATTTGTAGCTAAAATCAGCTGCTTGCAGGTGTGGCCTTCCCATGTTGCTGCAACACACAGCCTGGACTCTCCTTGAGGGGCGCCACGGTGATGAGATGTTAACTACCTCGCCTGGTATACAGGAGGTCGTGGGTTTGATCCCGACCCTGATGCCTGTATATATGGAATTTCAATGTTCTCCCTGTGGTCACATGAACTTTTCTCCAGGTCCTCCAGTTTTCCCCTCCATACTTACACATGTGTTTAGAGTATTTAATTGATATAAATTTCTACTTGATAAGCAACTTTAATGAGCTATCATTTGTGACCAGGTCACTTCTAAAAAAGAGCTATGTAGCTCAGTGTGCCTTACCTTGTGAAATAAAATAGTTTATTTGTACCAGCCCTGGTGAGACACTGCCTCACCAACACTTCACCTGGAATGGTACATTCCACAAGCAAGTTGAAGGTACCCCAATGGGTTCTCCCTTATCTCCAGTGGTAGCAAATGTTTTCATGGAAAATTTTGAGACAGATGCCATCCAGACATCCATCCTACGTCCTTCCTTGTGGAAGAGATATGTCGATGACACGTTCGTCATCTGGCCACATGACCTGCCAGCTCTGAACCAATTCTTCAACCACATCAATTCCATACACCCAGCCATCCAATTCACCATGGAAATGGAAAAGGATGGCAAGTTACCATTCTTGGATATTTTAATCGAAAAGAGACCAGATGGCTCATTGGGACACTGTCTACACGAAAGCCACCCACACGGATGCCTATCTAAGACCTGACTCCCACCACCATCCAGCCCAGAAGAATTCCCTCATCAAAACTTTACACCATAGAGCTTGTTGCATTTACGATCATCACCACCTAGCCAGTGAACTGGAGCACGTACACCAAGCCCTCAAGATGAATGGATATGCGGATTGCACAATCCGTAAAGCTGTCACCCCAACCGTGGGGAGAGAACCACCTGAGGACCCAATCAAAACCATCACCTTGTCATACATAGCAGGGGTCACCAAAAATATTTCCAAAATCATGAGCAAACCAGATCCAGGTCCGATTCAACACAGTACATATAATTCGTGATCTGATCCCATCTGTGAAGGATGTGATCCCTGACATGTGTAGTGTGGTAAATACTGACGAATAAACTTCTTATGAGGCAACACGTTGTTTTTTGTCTTTACTACAGGGTCCCTATCATGAAGGGTATATCGGTCCCTTCACCCGATACCTAGGGAGCTATGGCCTCCGAACTATGCGGGACCTAAGACTGGTAACCCGCTCCCTATCGTCCTCCGGCTGGGACCTAGGGGAGGCTAACTGACCTTGACCTCCTGGTCCGTGGGTCCTGACCACTGGCCTCACTGAACTCCG